TTCGCTTATATGTTGTGGTCGTGTCAAATTATCTTGCGCAAAACCTCGAATACCGTTGAAAATTCCTTATTTTTTTACTTTAGAGGAAAAATGATAGTGGCACCACATTATCGATAGTAATATAATGGTAAAGTGGTGGTGGAGTTTCGTATCATCGTTGTCTTAATTTATTTAAATAACTTTTCCATTTTCTGTTTATCGAAATAGATTTTTCGTTAAAAGAAACGAAAGTAAACCTTATTGGGCTGTAATATGGTTGACTTTTTTTTTGAAGAACGTAGTTGGGCGTTAATCGTTCGTCGTCTTTCAGCTATTGCCGCTAGATAGCTGCACATTGAATGAAACTTCAATATAAAATCAAAACGTCGTCACTTGCAATAATAGGTATTGAACTTTCAACGATATGACAAGGTAAAGTTTAAGCTAGGTTAATATACTTAAGTCCTGTTACATCTTTTTAAATTAGAAACTACGACTAAGAATTATCAAGATTTCAGTGTTTAACATTATGATAGTGCGACCTTTGGCGACTGCGGTTCTGAATGTAATCGAGGCTTAAGGCCCTTCCGTTGTTTTTTTCTTCCGTGACCATAAAGGAATTCTAAGCCGAGTTAGCTATAAAGGAACTTGATAGAATTGTAGACTGAACTGGCCACATTAGTGATTATAATCAACAATTTCAATTACCTATTTTGGTTTGCTACCAGCCAAATATTTCTTTCCTGATTAGTTTGTAGAACAAGATTACCGATCGTCTTTTGATAATGATATAATGAGGGCATAGTGTAAGATCCCCATTAAGAAAGGACTTGCATATAGGAAGCGCGGCGCGGAGCGATACGATTTTCATTAAAAAAATTAAAACATTGTCAATGGAGTTCACAAGGCTTTTATTTTAAGACATTAGTTCTCCCACGCCTCAATTCATCCTCACTTACACCTATCACAGGAGAGGTTTCTTATTTAAGAAGGCTCTGTCGTCGACAGAGTAGTGTTACTTTTTTAATTGCACCTATCATTTACAACTTACCGGGATCATCATCGGTAATTGTCGAGAGTGGCCTCAAATGTTCCAGGGAGTCAGCTCTAGCCAAGGCATCGGGAGCAGCGCGTAAAGGCGCCGCAGGTGTCGGCGCTGGCGCAGCGCCCCCCGTACCTTCGCCTCGTGCAAACACCAGCTCTACGGCTCCGTCCGTTGGGAATGATGGGTCTGGAGCAGTAATATACAATGAGTGGATCGGAAGAACGAGACTCCTAATTATATTTCGCGTATTAAAAAAAATCTGCACGAAAAGTGTTATGGTTTGGTTATTATAGTATTTCATCCACATTCCTACTTAATAGTTGGTGTTTTAAAAGTACAAGTAGTATATATTATATATTAAACCAGATTTTGTTAAGTGATACAAGCAATTCAAGTGTTATGTTAAAAAAAAGTACTCTTTTGCAAAGTGATCTTACAGTGTTGTTGTCTACATCTAAAAATTACTATGTAAGTAATAAAACGAACACAGTTTTACCACCATAGCGTCTAATAAGCTTATGGTATTATAACTAAGTCCCATATGTTCAATGGTCCGATCACCACTAACGTCGTCCTCCTTTTGAGTGCGGGGCGAGAGAGGGAAACGACCAAATACGACCGCTCGTCATATTATGAGCCAATGACTGGTTGAAAGTTTCTGTGTAATGTGCTTCAGAGTTCATAAGGAGTAAGTTATATCGTAGCCTGTTAGAGGTGAGAGCTATTACCATGCACAGCGTGGTCGAGTTGCTGCTTAGTGAAGGATAGTGTGTGATCGGCGACGGCACAGGTGTGGAACTGACAAGCGAAGACGAGGTGTCGTTGCGCTGCGTGAGACTGCGCGTGCGCCGGTCGCCTGTACGCACGGACTAGTACATCGCCACGAAGAGCTAGTCGACCGACGCCGACAGTCCAGCCGCCACCGCTTACCATGTATAACCCTGTTTATTATAGAAATTCATAATTAAAATAATATGCCTACTTGCAGTTTTGTCTTATACAAGTACTTATAATACTTTGGATACTTATTTTTGCTTATTTTTCTCAAGTAAAAAATACAAGATAAATTCTCCATAAACATACTATTCACGACTAGTAGAGTAAATGGCCACACGATCTTCCCTCTGCTCAAAGTAAAGCAATATAAACATTTATTAACATAATAGACGGCATTTGTTTACCTCGCGTAGATATAGTCCTTCACATAGGCTTGAGGAAATTTTTACACCTAAGCGGCTCACATGAATAAGCGGTGCACTACATTTTTTTATTATAATAGAATAAGTGTCCATCTCATCTGGTGGAAAGTGACGATGAGGTCAAATAATGGGTACTCATTCTCACCTTCAAAACGCCCAAGTTATAGCGTTTAGGCAATATGCCCGCGTACTGCTCATTCGTGTGGTCGGGTCAGATATACATTATTATTATATGTTGAATGTGTGCGTTATTATTATTATTAATTACCGGAAGTATAGACGCAGACGAAGTTCTCGTATATTTTCAGGAAAGCGATGGTGGGCGCAGCTGGCGAGGCGAGCGAACCCGCCACGCTCACGTGTGTCAGATGTAGAGGCGATGCATTCACGCGGATCTGACCCGCCAAAAGACCGGCGAATGTATCTATGTATCTGTTGATAAAAAAAGTAAAAAATCGTCAATTTTAATGAATAATTACAAATCAAGAGTTAGTTGATTGAGTAAAACAGAACGTTTAAACCCAAAAACCAAGATCTGCAGCAAGCACGTACTCGTGGAAAAAATATATCAATACGTGGGGCACACTATAAGTTTCCGGAATGAATAAGAAAAAAATACTATAAATGGTCAGAAATGGATTTATTCTTTTTCAAAATATTCTCCGTCAGCGTTAATGCACTTTTGAGACGAATGAACCAATTTTGAAAACATTTAAGTATGCCACTCCTCCGTGACAATCACTGAAACTTATTTTTCATATTCTTCGACAGCTTCTTCATGTGATGAAAATCGTTGACCGCGTAACTGGTTCTTAATTTTTGGCAATAAATAAAAGTCTCAAAGTGCCAGGCAGGTCGGGACAGTACGCGGGATGGCTCATAAGGACAACGTTGTTCACCTTCAAAAATTTATTTCTCTGTCTGGCCGTGTGAGAACTGGCATTATCATGGTGCAAGATGATACGGCCGATACGGTTATTTTTACGGAGTTAGTCAATAACTTCCGGCAAACAAATGGTCGTGTACCAATCACTATTCACGTTGTACCGTGAATATACACACATGGTACACGCCACACGTGTACCGTCTCCAAAGCAACAGTAGCCACATGTCCAGTTTTATTAAAAAAAGAAGCAATCATCCGCTTAGAGGCACTTTGCATGCGCGCCACTTTGGTTGGTTTCGACTCATCTCGAAAGACCCATACGCTCGATTGCTGCTTTGTCTTGGGATCGTAACTATAAATCCATGTTTCGTCACCTGTTACTATGTCCCACACCAAATTTGACGCCCCTTCGTTGAATCTGGTAAGCATGGCATTGCACCAAGTAACGCGATCCCTTTTTTGAGCCTCAATCAAATTGTGTGGGATCTTCCGGGAGCACAGCATTTTCACACCCAAATGTTTGTGTAGTATTGATTGTATTTGACTCATGCCTAAGCCGAAAGATGCCCGAATCTCATGGTGTGTCACATGCCTATCTGTTTTGATAATACGGCGCACAGCATCGATGTTTTTGTTGTTCACGGCAGTGGACGCGACCGACAGTGGCGACCATCACGAAATTCGTCACTGAGATTCACACGACCGCGTTTGAATTCTGCAAACGAGCTATAAATAGTTGTCTTGCATGGTGCTTCATTGCCAAAAGCAGTTTGAAGCTGAGCGAAGTTCCGCTGAGCTGTTATATTACACTTAAAGTCGTAGAAAATCATACTACGAAAATTTGATGTAGGCAATCAATTTCTAAAATTACGCCACGATGTAAAAACAAGTGACAGTCAGATGAAACAAACTGTATTCTACAGCCAAAGAGTTCCATTTTTAAATGTTCTAATTACTTTTTAAATATTGTTTATGTAAGTGGCCAGTTCCGGAAACTTATAGTGCGCCCTATATATCATGGTAGTAAAAACATCATGATATTGAATGATATAAATATGAGAAGTAAATTTCAGATTAGTTTTCTCTACCAAATTTCAGTGGTAGTTTTTATTATTTAAATATTCCGGAATATTATCATGAAGACTTAATAATGAGTGTAGTATCGTAAAATATAATTTTGATAATGTACTCGAATACTTAAATAATAAAAATGCCACCAAAATTAGGTAGATAAAACTAACCTGAAAATTACCCCCGAGTCCTTTAATAAATAAATAAAAAATTATCACAAAACGTTTACGGTCCAAATAAAATAATAAGTCATTTGTTATTTTACGACGTAGAGAAGTATACAAAAACATACCTTTTATTAGAGGGCAAGTGAAAGACGGGCACGCGGTCATCGAGGTACCTTCGCATTGCGTATCGATCTAGAGCATTCTCTGGTGCACCACAGATGGCAGAGTAGTGCATGTACGCCGCCACAAGGACGCCTAGACGCTCGCGGTTGCCCCTGATAAAAAAACGAAGTTAAATTTTAATATAGAAGAATTTCGTAAAACTTATGTATCTACTTATCTATCAAATTACTTGAGGCAAATAAACCAACAAACAATTTATGAGTAAACTGCAAATTTTTAAATGAGTAAATATAATTAAAAGTTCTAGACCTTCCGTTGTATGTTTTACATAAAAACACATTTAAAAATCAGCAGTTGCATGGAAAGGGTGCTAAATTTCGATGTCTCATTAGTTAATAAATGCTTTAAGAATCGTGAGTTCGATACCGATACGAAAAATTTGTTGTTGTTGTACTCAACAATACAGTAAATCCCAAACAATACAGTTAAAACCAAGTACCATTATAATTATCTGGCTTATTTTTGTATTTATTTACAATGGCTATGCTACATGGTTAGATCTCTACCCTATAACGTTATAATTTTTTCTAGGCGTGTATATACATAGATATACCGAAAAAATGGCAGGTTCTTGTAGTTAGGTACAGTTTTTTCACAAATGAATTTTTAATTTAAGTATTATTACGTTTTGACTTTCTTAATTGTTTGTTGCTTGTTTAAACTGATGGCTCTATAGCCAATGCTACAAATAAATGAAAAAAAAAACTTTAATACACTCCCGGACATATAATGCGAGTTACCCTGCAATTTCTTTTTTAACTATTTATTGATCAACACACAGAAAGAATACGTATTAACTCGAAACATCGTTCGCAAAATCCTTCCTTACCATTGTTTATCCGCAGCGAAAGAATTTAGACAAATTGAAGAAAAAAATATGATGACGAAGGACTGGTATCTTACCATGTTACACAAAAACTAGCTTAATTACGACAAACGAGGTACAAAAAGTGCTAAATTGCTTACTTAAATAAGAAAAGTTTGTATCTTCCACATTTTTTATTGAAGATACAAACAATTCAAAAAAATCATTGATTGACCACAAATTATTATATGCAATTTTGAAACTGGCATACTAAACGTCATTTCCATTAAAAAATAACTTTAACAAAAATTTTTATTTAAAAATAAAAATGCAAAGTGGTTCAAATTATGTGTCCGTTAGTGTATTTAAGACGAATAACTACTGATGCTATCGTTTCAGCATAAATGTCTCATCAAACTGGATTTAATTACTCACCACGCTAGAAGAATAGCGACATTCTTAGGATGTGCTGCGAGCCAGCTCTCAATGTGCTTGCAGGCCGCACAGAGCTTCTCGAGTGGCGGCGCCAGATCTCCCGCCCAACCAAGCGAGCGAGCTCGCCTGAATACTGCGCGCGCCGTACGCCCGTCGCCACTGCTGACTTCGAATACCTGCAGGTTAGTCCGTACATGAGAATGATGATAACCTAACTTACTATAAATTGAAGCTTTACCAAAAATGTCTATTTTAGGGTTGCAATTGAAAACTTGGCGTTATAATTCCCACATTCCCAAAAAAAATCACAAGTATAAGGTGCGTTACGTCGTTATTGACATTAGAGAGACAATAATGAAAATCGATCCAATATCATCATCAATTCGTCCATATTCGTCCCACACACACATACCGGGCCGGAGTTGGGGATTCAGACATTTTCCGAGAGGAACTTACTGTGACGTGCAGGTTTCATCACGATGTTTTCCTTCACCGAAAAACTCATTGTAAATTTCAAATTAAACTTAAACAAAGACAAGTCCGACTGTGCGAAGTGCGACTTAAGTCAATTATTCGTATTTATGAACGATTTTTATGTGTCAGCTTAATCTTAGCTCGATCTTAAGATCGAGTTAAGTGGCACTTGTATGAAACCAGTCTTTAGCTGTGTTAAGTCTGACTTAGAAATATTTTAACGTTTTTATCACTGGTTATTTGCATTTCTCTTGAGTTGCTCTGACATTTTTTTTTTATTTTACGTATTTACCTACGTTTTTGTTTTGGTTTATAAATTTGTATTAAGACATTTTATATTAATAACATATTTTACGACTTTCAGGCCTTCATGGCTAATTATCTGGAGAACGAAGATGATTACCGTCGTGTAAGAGCACGTAAAAGATATCTGAGGGATCCTGGGAATATCTTGGACACTGAATTACAAACAGTTTTTCAGCCGATACAGGAATTAAAATTTGATGTGTACCTATTCTTCTCATTAAGTAAAAAAGTAATATAAAGTATAAAGAACTATTTGATATGAATATTATAAAAGATTCAAGTACCACTCTGGGGTAAATTGCACCATGAGGCCAATCCTCTTGATACTATTTCTAAATAGTTCACAATGTCAAAATACTTCTATAAATCCTTGTATCAATAACGTAAAAATAAATATCAAAGTTATAGGTTTGTAATAACTCAATTATGTACCTAGCTACAAAGGAACATCTCCAATCAGAGATACACCAGTTTTGTTTACTGCTATCGACTTGTTTTGGTTTCTCATTTCACTTAGGTTCAGAAAAATGCAATGGAACCAACTTTGTCTGTTTGATTTAGTTTCTCATTTCAAATAGATTCCGTAAAGTGCAATGGAATCTACTTATTCTGTTCCTGAATTTACTAGGTGTGAACCCAAGATGTTTCATACTTCAGTTATTTCAAAAAACAGTTCAACAGATTGTAATACTTATATAGAAATAATTCGTAACCCTACAGCAAGCGATACAATAAAACAGAGAGAGGTATCTAACTCTAATCTTTATTGGTTTTCATCTTCATGTTCCAGATTTTCCTAAGAAATAGTTGTAAGTTGTAAGCACCATTTTCCAACTAGTACAAGTTCATACATAATACTTGGTACTTGGTACTTGGTACTTGGTGTAACGGGCTGGTGTCCGCAACTCGACGACAAGGTGCCTATTTTTTATTCATACATAATAATTAATTTATATATTTTAAAATATAACATAAAAAATCAATATTAATTTTTGAAACTTAAATACTTCTCGGACAAATAAGGACAAAACAGTTTGATGAATTTTTTTATTCTTTCCGCTGAAGAAAAGGCAAAGGTAATTGTTTGTTAACTGCCACAAACTACGAAACAATTTTCAAAAATTCCCGCTTTTAATTTTTGAAAAAAAAAAACAAGTATTGTTATTGGCTAATGGCTTCAAAGTAAAACTTGAGACTGACCTTGGATAAGAGCAAGCGAAAAAATTTTCATAAATGTCAAACAACACCAAGTCGCACTTAAGCAAAAATTTCACTCACATCGATCTTAGTGAAAAATTTTCTTAAGTGCGCCTTTTGTTTTGTTCATAGATACGGGTATCAGAAGTGCGCGCCCCGATTCTAACCCTGCTTGCGAGGCGGTAGCTAGGTACAAGGTAGGTTAGGCTATTACGACTTTTTACGATCCAATAGTCTTTAAGAAAATCTGAAATACTTATATTAGACATACGTGTGTTTAGATTACAAATAATATGATAGACTGTCTGGGAAACCCAAGAGCCGGCAACAATTAATTAATATATAATATAATATAATATAATAAATAAAAAAAAAAGGCAGCTACCTTGCCCAACGCATTAGCATAGCAACACAAAGGGGGAACGCTGCCAGTATCTTGGGCACCTTGCCGCGGGGAACCAATTTTATTCATATAATTTAAAAATCCTAGTTTTACTTTCTAGTATTTAAGCGTTTACTGTCTTTTTTACCTTACCTGTATATTATCAAAATAAAAACACAAAGTTTTGTAAAAGATCCATCAATCCATCCTAATTTTCTGTAGGGACTTTAGAAACCGCTTTAGAAATAAATCTAAGAGACTTGTACCTGAAGACGACGACTGTCTACAGCGAATTCATCATAGACATAGGGTAGGATAGGTATCTACATATGTCTCCAAAAATGGGGTCTATGTTCCTCAAATTGCAACAGATGGAGGCATACGCAAAGTGTGCGTAACTTCGTTATCATTGAATTTACATTTTCACGTGAATAATTTGCGTCACTGATCGAAATGACCGTGAAAGACCGAAATAATTACCACTCGCTAACTCGCAAAATTGTTACGACTTGTAACATTGCATTCACGTAGGTGCTAGTAATTACTGCTAAATAAAGCTTACCATAAAATGTTCACCATGCTTATTGCTGAGCATGTGAGCGGCTTGCGCTTCTGCGTGTGCATCGCGTTCAGGTAGGTGCAATGCTAACATTCGTTCGGCCACATAGCATAAGTCTAGTCGAGTCCCCGCCGGCGCTGGGTAACTCGCCGACCGAGAAGCCGTCTGAAATTAAACAGAATAATATTCGTGAAATCGTTTTCTCATGTCTTTTGAAAATACACACAGAAAATTGTCGTTTAGCTAATAATACCGCTTATTTGTTACTATTTTTTCAAGACATATGAAAATTATTTATTTACTTGAATTCAAGAGAAATTACACTATTAATAATAACTACATTAAGTGGACATTCTGTCATGTAAATAACTTCCTGCTTAAAATTTCATACATTCAAACCTCTAATATAGGTATTGTTAGTTAAGTGACGACATGCGACAGTTGGAAAAGTGTTTCATGAAGTTTCACCTTCTCTCCTTACGTTTTTTCTTTTTTCTCTCCATGTCGTTCTTTACTCTGATACGAGAACAAAGTAGCCTAGCATGAGGCTAAGAGCCTAAGCACACGGCGTAATTTATACGCCGTAAACGCGCGTCATCTGCGTGTATACGCGCCACAGACGTGCTGTAGTCGTGCGTATGTATCGCGCGTTTTGATAAGAGCTATTTTTAATTAGAGTTTTATTTGTAAATTTCAGATAATTTTTTAAATGAAGCAGTTGCTTCATGTATTACATGGAATACTACGTGTAGTCTACAGTTGAATATAATATAAGCTTCTGGCTTGCATCGTGATGACGCGCGTTTAATGCGACGTAATCGCGCGTTCGTGAAATGCGCGTTGTCGGCGCGTGTAAAATACGCCATGTGCATATACCTAACGCCATATGAACTCCCTTTATATTCCGCATGTGTTCGAAATTCGAACTGTGTCGATTTTTCATAGATAAAGTAACCACACATTTAGCATTACTTTTCATTACAAAAAAGCACTTCAGTAAAAAAAAGCCAAACAGAATTGTCTAAGCTAATAAAAGGCATTAGATCTGGCAAAAGACTTCCAAAATACAAATTTAGTCGTGAATAAAGGCTCAAGGTTGTGCAATTCGGAACAGGAAAATTTAATCAACATTTTTATACGTTCGCAGTTAATCGGGAACAGTTATTTCGGGACCCCTCCAGCACTTAGTGGTTTCCACGTGCTCTCTGGCTGCAGAGACCTTAACTGTTATTTATTGTAAATGTTTTCAATTATTTCACGACTTCAACATTAGGCGCGTTGTTCGTTTTACGCTGTACGATGGCGATAAACATGGTGTTTTAAATAAATTAAGCTATAAATTTCAGCGCCAGAATGGTTCTTGCCTCACGAGTTCGCGGTAATTCATGCGGACACGCTGAATAGAGTTTACAAATAAAAGCAACTGGTTATTTCTGGACTGCTTCGGGCCCCTGCGAGCTGTCTCTACACCTTGTAGATTCAAAAAAAAGTTTCTCCCTACTTTTTTATCTGTTTGAACAAAGATAAGACGATTACGTACGCTAGACAATTAGATCGTAAGTACAAAAAACAACCATTGAGTATTAAGAGCATTAAACCACTTTAAGTAAGAAAGTTGGAAGTGTAAATTAGAATTAGAAAGGCGACACGGTAAATAGTAAAAAGCTCTGATTTACCTTACTAAGTAGTTATATTCATGTCAAATTCGAACACACGAGGTCGTAGGCGCGACATAACTCTGAAGAAAGTGACACGACCTGTGCGTAGGCGCAAGTAAACACAGAACCGTAAAGTCGCCGCAGGGATCGCCTCAATGCATTTAATCCTATTAGGATAGTATAATCTATGGAGCCTAAATGAAGTCTACGTGTGCATAAAGACATTTATTTAGCTAGTCGTTAATATGTTGTTGGGGATAATAGCGCTGTCTGTTGTAAATCACGGTTGGTCTCTGTTTTACGCCGCCAATAATGACAGCACATTTGTATTTATAATTGCTAGTAAAGTGTGTAGAGCACATGTTCGGAGGTAGTTTGTCTTGTCTCGCGGAGTAATTATCTCGAAGAAATAACGAACGGTCTTAGAACGTCTTAGTGTCTGCTGACACCGGCAAATATTGTAATTCTCGTATTGGAGCTCGCTCAGATAGGGAATTAGCAAATAAATCACTTATGAATGCAGTTACAGCCATTACATTTGATAAATGTTTTCCATATCATCTCTTATTAGATTTTTGTATCATTTACATGATAACGAAGCTGTTTATATTGAATAGTAATCAATATAGAACATAAAACTCCGTGAATTTTTGTATATTATGGCAATTGTATTGAAAACACAACTTTGTTACAATTCACGGAAATTAGTAACAAATGTGAGATTAACTCGCAGTAATACGTGCGTACGTACGTATTAGTAAAGAGTAAGTCCTTGGATTAAGTATGCATTTTATGCATGAACGTGTTCTATTTTTTTATGGTACTAAATGACGGGACGAAGGAGTCTGAACGGAAAGAAGAAGTGTGCGTGATTATAAGGGACACGCCTGTCCGCAATAGTTGCAATGCCGCTCAGAGTTTTAAATCGTAAAGATCTGAGGGGCAATGCCACTGCGCCTGTCACCTTGCGATATAAGTTGACAAGTCTCATGTGCTTGTAATGTCACCCGCACCCTTACCCTTCAAAACTGGACCGTAGTAATACTCACATTACTGCTTGGCGGCAGAATTATGTGACATACTTCCCTGGACGAACTCTTTCATAAGGAGCTAGCTAATACTAAGAGCTAATAAACTTAGAGGAAGGTGTCGTCTGCTTTGTGTATAAAGCGACATTATTAATTATACGGTATCTCCAGATAACGTTGTAAAATATTAATTATGTACGCGAGAAATACTCACTTGGTCCCTTGCAAGGGCCGGGGTGGCGGGAGTGGCCGGTGCGCTTACCGCCCGCGTCTGTAACAAATCACATTATTACGCTATACAACACACTCTATAAATCTCTACAGCTAGTAGTTTGCTGGTTACGCTTAACGAATACTCTCTCAGGTTCGCACAAGGTCCAACGTGTCATTAAAATGAAATCAAGAGTTGTAATTTAATTCTCGTCGTTTTTTTTCAATGTCAGCTTTCGGAGCTGACAGTAGATAAGCGAGATAACGTTCTGAATGAATTAAATTTTACAGTCTCGCTGGAAGGCTTGGTCGAAGCTTCAACGATAGGTATACAAAATGCAAGAAAAAGTGTAATTTCTTTGGAGTAATATAATTCTTATAATTATTATTTTCCTGATATTGGTGCTTTATATTTAATAAATGTCTGTTTCTCTCTGTGTAAGTCTATTTCTCATATCATTCTCCATTTGAAATAACTTCTTGCCGGTTGCGTATTTGATATACATATTATATATGTATGTATTAGTTTTTTATAAGGATACGAAATTGCCTCGTTTCCCAATATATACTAGAGGTGTCCGATATTGTTACCAATTTAAAGCTGAAGTAGAGATGGGTTACATTCACACGTACGCTTACAATTATTATGAAGTTATCGAAGTGAAGGAGTCTTCTACGTATTAATGTTGTAGGAACAAATTAATCGACACAATGAAAATGTTACGTCAACATGTGTTACGGAAATAATTAAAGCACGCATCCGACACAAAATGTTTGTATGTGCTGGTTATACCATCAACAGCGACTAAAATTAGTTACGTTGTCTACTGTATGTATATTTCGGATAAAATGCATTTCGTAAGTAAAGTAAAGCAGCGTTTTTGTAGATACATTTCAGTTTATTTAGAGACTAATTAAATAAATACCACAGGTTTTACAGACCGGTCTACATTTTAGTTTGAAATACATACTGTAACTACTTCTTATGTTCTATTCTTTGTACGCAATCAAATACTCTATACTGCTAAGTGCAACATAATCAGCGGACGGTATGTATGCCATTTGAAGTTTATAAGCGGAATATCTCTTATTTGTATAATATTTAATCGAAAAGATACCCGTTTCTACATGCTACAGTGTCTCCAGTGAGCCTGGTGAAGCCTAAAAACTAGTACATTGCCGAAGCTTTTCCTTTTCCCTTTTTGAGCTTTTCTTCGACACATATGTAAGCATTTTTTTAAATTTAAATGTTAAATAAATTTTATTATATTTAATAACATAATTCATTATTAAATTTAATATAATTTTTATTATTACATATTTGAAAAGTCTATGTACCGTAAACCTACTCCAATCTAACCTGTAGTCAAGAACAATTGTGTTTCAAGTTTATATCTCGTAGGTATATATACAATGTATAAATACAATAAAGTATAAAAGTATCTAATACGAAATAGTAGTATCCAGAGATAATAACATAAGTAGATAGATAGATAGATAGATAGATAGATAACACGTTTATTCAGCACAAATACAAATAGAAACAAAACATTTACAATCACTTCACAGAGTATAACATAAAAGCACATAGAACATTCATTATTAATTTTATACACATTTTACAAAATATATATTGCGAGACAAAACAAATACTGTGAGAAAACAAACAAATACTATAACAACTGATAAAATTTTAAAATACTTATGACTACAGTTTGTGCTGAAATGGCCCTGACTCAGCATAAATACTGTAGACCAAGAGAAGGCAAACAGTGCTGATTTTCTGCCAGTACCATATGGTGAGCGATCGCAGGCCAGTAAGTGCATCACACGCAAATATATATACCTAACTCTAAATACTATATAG